CTCCAGGGGATAAAATCAGCAATTTATGCAACAGTGTTGAGGCATGTGTTGCAATAGGTGCAAGGTAGTCTTGTGTAGTGTTTAGATCAGCGGTTCCCAAACTGGGTCTTGACTCCAAATGAGGTTGCATATATCAGCGGATGGGGTCATGAGGGTGGAAAAGGGGCCATAAATGGGGAGGAAAAGTTTGAGAAGCACTAGTTTAGATGAAGGATGTGTATGGGACAGTTTGGACAGGGATGGTCCTGCCTCAGGCAGGGGGGCTGGACTAGATGACCTCTGGGAGGTCCCTTCCAGCCTGACTTCGCCCAGGGCCATGAAAGATGCGTGCCCCTGGAGTCTGGGGGAGCCCGGTGACTGCCTGCAGGCGGTGGCGAGCGCCCGCAGGTGGCCACGGCAGTGTCGGCGGCTGGGGGAGAGGGGGGCGAGCGCTGACCAGCGGTCGGCGACCACCTGTAGCGTTGGTGGCAGCTAATCGCAGGGGGTGCACATGCAACCCTATGCCTCGCCAAAGCCCTAGGCTTTATGAGTGGAGTGTCTTTGGGGCACCTCCTGGAGCAAGCTGCTGCTGATTAAAGCTGATGGACCCAGCTCTGCTCTGCAAGGTACTGATCTCACCCCGCTTTCCTTCAGCTACAGCCCAGGGCCAGTGCCCCCCAGCTCTGCCCAGGCTAGGCTGCTAGCGGCATTTCCCCCCGCGCGGTCTGTGGCGAGCGGCCAGAGCCCACATGACCGGGGGGAGCAGAGGGCTGAGCTGGCGGCGGGCACTGAGGCGGCGCCGGGCGGGGAGACAACGAGGCGGCGCGATCAGGGGCTGCCCCGCGCTGAGGGGAAGGGGGCGCCCGACCTGGCCGCCATTGGCAGGCTGCCTTCACCCTCCCGCCGCACTTCCTGCCCTGCCCTGCCCTGCCCTGCCCTGTAGTGCCCGCGGCGCCGCCTCCTTCCCTCCCTGCCGGCCGGGGGGCGGGCGTCGCGCAGAGCAGCCCGCCCGGGAGAGGTGAGCGTGGCGCAGCGCCCTGCGCGTCCAGCCCACGCCCCGCTCTTTGTCTCGGCGGCGCCGCAGCCCCGCGCCGCGCCAAGGCCGGG